ATACTCCTATGATAAAACTTTTCAAAACATGCACACTATTGTCTTTTCTTCAGACACTGTAATTCTTGTTACATCTGAGTTACACAGATTAAGGGTCCTAATTTTTACGAATGCCAGCTTTCTCCTAATATCACAGTCATCTGCTTTGATGTATTATTTTCTCAAATTGATTAATTAATATTAGTTTAATTAATTAATTAATATTAACAATGAGCTCTGAAACATCAATAATGCATTTGATCATTTAAAATGTGTGTCCCATACTTAACCTAAGTGTTTCGTTGATCTATTCTCCCAGATTTGTACAGACTATTTTACATAAAATATTCATTCTTATTAAGTTGTCCCAGACTATTACAGCATTCTTTTAAAAAAATGAGTCAATGACAAAAAACATAAATTTGGTACATGAGAATAATCTGTAACCTTCTACTTTTTATATGTCTTACACCATCTGCAGTCAATTAAGCGATTCCCAGGTGTTCACAGTAATTGCTTTAACGCAAGAATACATGTCACTTTAGGGGTCATTAAATATTTATTATAAAACCCTCATCTACATTTTTCTCCATTCATTTAGGGACAAAACATGCTGATGTTTAGTTTTGACAAAATAAAAAAAAATGATTTTACATGTTGAATTAAAAATAGTTTTTTTATAAGTCAAAATTTGGTGAAAGAATAAAAACAATGATGCTGATCCAGTTGTGCTTATTTAAGTGAATAGTGGGGAATTTAATGGGTCAGAGGATTCATTAACTAATTTCTTCTCTAAAGGTAAAAACAGATTTTACATTCAGGAAACAACCATGGAGATAATCTAGCATAATACTCATTTCATAGATAAGTAAAACCAAGAGGTTTGGCCAATTGTACAGAATTATTTATGTACAGATCAAATAAAAATTACAATAACTAACATATACATGAAGTGGTCCAAGTACTTCACATCTGTTCACTTACTCAATTTTCACATCTACTGTAGGAGATGGACACTCACGTTATCCGCATGGAAGCTTGGAGTATGGAGGATGCCCTGAATAACCTGGTCGCAGTGCTGGGAAGTGACAGATCTGGGATTTAATTGGCTCCAGAATCCATGCTCTTAACTATTAAAATATAATTCCTTTCTAAGACTACTTTCTGACTAAAGTATGATTTCTAGGTGAATATATTCTTCTAGAACATTTTGATATATAAATTATATGATTACACTCATGATATTATTATTAGTGAAAAATCCACCTATTCCTGTGTTTTGAAAATAGTTTTCACTGAACTTATGTTCTGATGTTTTTTGGTTTTCTATAACATCTCTTAATAATTAGTCATAATCAAAGTGCCTTTCTAGCAAGAGTGTTTTGTGACAGGCATTGTGAAATCTTTGGATATACAGATTAACTTAAGTATGTGGAACATTAAAAAATGCTCATGGCTTAATCAATCTAATAAACATTATTGTATAATAAATTCTTAATAGTAACATAGTTATTATTAAAATTATGTGATTAAATTATGTGATTAATTTTAGAAATTATGTGATTTTATTCACTGCTTGCATTACTGAAGGTTTATTTTGCCATGATAGGTGACGAGTAAATATTTTTAGAAAAGCTTCTAGACTCAAATTACCTTGTAGTCTATTGCACTGAATAAAATGCTGATGTCTCAAACAATCCTTCGGTGTGTAGTAGCAGACTCAAAATGTTTAAGTGTTATGCTGGCTTTCTTTCCCAATATTTTCCTTACACCAATTCTATGGGGCAGCCCGTGTGCTGTGTGTGTGTGTGTGTGTGTGTGTGTCTGTGTGTGCGCGCGCGCCTGCCTGTCTTCGATGTTGGAAATATACTGAGGTGGGCAGAGAGGCATCAACACAGTTAAGAGCCTTAGGGTTTTCAGTTTTTACTAAAGGATATCAATTTTATCATCAGTTCACTTCACTTCTGAACTGAAAAGACTCAGCCACAAACTTTAACATTTTGGGTCCTCACTTCATCTGACCAATGACAAGCCCAGGTCCCAGGTGAAAGTATCTATCATAAGGAATATTTAATAGGCAGAGAAGCCTAAATATTTATCCCTGAATTAAGTTGAACTGAGAAACATGTTCCATGTCTTGCTCCCACAATTATTTTACCTAGCGGCACTTTGTGGTCCCGCTCTGAGCATTCCTTAAAGCACCACGCCATAGTGTTGGCAGGCCAATGCTTCTAACAGGCTACACTGTATCATCCAGTTTTCTTTCTATTAAACAACGTGTACATTTTGTTCAGTGTATGTGAGAAAAAAACCCTGGTTTTCCATAAAAAGCTCCGATGTTTCTCCTTAAACATAGTAGGATCATGTCATTAGTCACATTTCTCTTTACACCTTTACTACCAGGAAGGTAATGTGGCTTAATTAATCATTATACAGGATACAAATAGTTTCCATATGGATAAAGAAGGTACTAATTTTTAATGTAACTTTGTATATATGTACATTTTCATTTTTTATCTCTTTATAAACTTACGATATTTTAAAAATGGTTGTTTCATCATATGGACTTTATTATTAGTGTATACCGACTCAAAATCCTGAGAAAACAAATCAAAGAAAAATATTCTCCTTACAGAATCTTAGTGCCTAGTTGTTCTCATCAAGCATATCTTCTCTTATCATAAATAAAGCAAATTTGATTTTAAGTGTATATAGCTAATTGACAGCTGCTAGAAAAGGCACGGAACCAATAATGATGCACACCTGCCACTCAAAACTCCCACTCCCTGACTGGCTGTCTTGTAAATCCCCTGGGGCAATGAAGGTAAGTACCTCAGACCTCAGAAGAAACCAAAAAGTCAACTCTGCTGCAGAAGTTGTCTCTAATTGGTTTTTATTTTATGTGGTGTTTAATCCTCAAAATGTGAATTATGAAAAGCAAACTAGTACCAAATGTTAATATCATTTTGTTTAATTTCTAGCAAATGACACACTGTCTTATTACCATATAGTAAGACTTATTTAAGGCAGCCATGACTTGCAGGTTTGAAGAAGTAATGAAGAAAGACAGAAAAATGAGAAATTACAGATTGTAATTAAGGTTTCTATATAATTTGGATATGTCACTGATTCTTGATAAACAGAAATGAAAATATCCAAGATGAGTCAATGATTCTGACAATAAAAGTTACCAGTTCCTGGGAGTGAATTTATTCTCCAAAATTTACCGAGCATTAAATAAGGAGAATTATGATGATATATGACACCTTAGATGAAGCATAAGATTGTGACTCTAAGCAGATTTTAAAAGTAAATAATCAGGGGCGCCTGGGTGGCTCAGTTGGTTAAGCGACTGCCTTCGGCTCAGGTCATGATCCTGGAATCCCTGGATCGAGTCCCGCATCGGGCTCCCTGCTCGGCAGGGAGTCTGCTTCTCCCTCTGACCCTCCCGACCCTCCCCCCTCTCATGTGCTCTCTCTCTCTCTCAAATAAATAAATAAAAATCTTTAAAAAAAAATAAAAAAAATAAAAGTAAATAATCAGAACAATGACATTCCAATTATTTAATACCCAGTTAGTATTAATGTTTTACTGAGATAATGTTATAGACATGAAATTACAGACCTTCTTATCATGCTTAGCCACAGGACCATATAGCAGCTATTCTGGGTTTCCTAAACATGATCGCTTATGACTGAAATTTAAATGAGGGAGACTACCGAAAAAAAATATGTAAAACAAAACTAGCTCTGCCCATTAATATTACTGCTTGTTCAACTTTTCAGTTTATCCTTTTACTTTTAGCCTCCAGTATTCAACTGATGATGCCTAGTGACCAACTCTTATGATGTGAATGTTATGTAAAATAAAATTGAATTATTATAAATAAAGTGCAATTATATTTTTTGGAAATACATATATGCTAAAATATAAATTGCATTTTTGGCTTCATTAAAGCAAATAGCATATCGAAAAGTGTTTCATATACCTACAAAAGAAGTAGACACAATCAAATTCATGTTTATAAATCTCACATTTCAAATGCCATATTCTTGTGTAATTTAAAAAGAACTATTGGAAATATACTTTTATATTAAAGTGTTCATTAATTTTTCATTAAGATAAGGACAACTCATTCCTTGAGATTATAGTTTACTACTTATAATATACTTGGAAATATACTTTTATATTAAGGTGCTCATTAATTTTTCATTAAGATAAGGACAACTCATTCCTTGAGATTATAATTTACTACTTATAATATACTTTTATATACACACATATATTATCAATATTAGGTAATCTCCCCACAAAAAAGTACAGCATTCTAAAGATATTTTGACAGTTACACACAATCAAATCTTTTTATTACTTTACACAATTACAACTGACTTTTTATTTGCCTGTTTTCTTATAAAAATTGACTCAAATAATAATGCCAGGCAATATGAATCACTAATTTTTTGACAATATGAGAAAACAATATTTTATCATTAACTTATATTTATAACTTCTAAAGCCTATAAATCTTAAAATATAAATAATCTCAATACCATATTTATAAGTAATTGATAAATGTTAAGATTTATTATATTCAACTAATATATCATTTCTAATTTACATTAGCAGATAATATCTCTCAGGAAATTATTTACCTAAAACAATGGATACACAGACCACATGATGTTATACCTCATGTGTTTTATTCTGTTTACTATAACTTAACGTACACTAGGGAGGTATTTGTTAGAAAAATGGTGCATTTCATAATTCAAGAGTAGTAACAACAAAAAATGTGATTGTCTCATAGTAACACATTGACAAGAGTAAGAACTACCAAATAGAGGAGACTATAATTAGCTTGTGAAAAATCAAATCTTATGCAAGATAGTTGGGCTGAAAAAGGATGTCTAGTTTTATATTAGAGAAATAATAAACTTTTGCTTTCCCCAATTTAAACAATCACAAAGCTTCAAGTGGAGTAAGATGGTATGAGCAATCTTTACCCCCAAAGCACTCACCTACTGTCAGCTGTCCAGTTAACTGCCCCATGTGATTTCTTGCATTCACTGTTACATTCCTGTCAGACTGTAAGACCAGTGGACTATCCTGGGAAACATGCATAAAATAAAGAAATCAAATAAAAAATAGAAATAGAGTCAAACTTAATCTCTAAAACTATACTGCATTTGTTTGGGTATTACCAAAATTCTATTTCTTTGTTTTATATTAAGCATTTATTTTAACATCCCAAATATTGACTGGACAATATGAAAAAAAAAATACAAGTGTTTCATCATAACTTCTTGACAGGATAGGAATGTTTCTACTTTGATAAATGGACATTAACTATTTGATGCAATAATTTCCAACTCTACCAATTGCTATACGTCCAAGGTATAGACACTCCTCCCCTCTCCGTCTCCCAGTGGAATATAAGTCTACCTATGGAGATGTTTTAGACCCTACCCAAATGAGGAAGTTCCTTTTTAAGTTGAATTTGCAACTTTCAGGTCCCAGCTGAAATGCATCTCATCAAAATTGCCTCCCCTACAAATTCATTCAATCCCCAAACTCCCAGTCTCCATTTATTTTGTTCAAAGCACTTATCACAAGGCAAATTTATTTTGCATATATATGTGTTTACTTGGTTTTGTTTGTTTCTGTCACAGAAGGAAATGTCCATGGGACAGGGAACATGACAGTCATGTGTATATAATTATATCCTCACTACTTAGCATCCTGCTGGAAAAAAAGCATTTACTAGGTATTTATTGAGTGGGTAAATAAATTTTCATAATAAATGATATTAGCTTGTTTATTTACCTCATGTGGAAATGCCCTGTAAATTATAGAATGGCTTATGTAGGGAAGTACATAAAATGTAAGAATATAAGATGTTTGCCTGGAAATTCTCATTTAGAATATCTAACTTTGGTTAGATGTTTACTTTTATCACTAATTTAGCATTTAACAGTGAAATAATTTATTGAAGGATATGGCCTTCAGAACCTGCATATTGAGCTTTTGCCACCACTGCCTCAGACAAGTAATTTACAGCTGCCTAGATTTTCATTTTTATGATCTAAAACATAAGCAAGGTGATCATTTACAAACTGTCCATCCATTCATTCATCAGGTATTTCTGAGTGCTCACCATGCAGGCTGTAATGTTCTAGAGGTTTGGGACATCTCAGTGATCAAAACAGAACAATACCTGCCCTCATGGAGCTTTTAATCCAGGTAAAAAAATTCTATGAAAATCTCTCCCAATACCATCCTCACAATCTAGGTGGTATGTCACTTCTATGTTAATGTAAATACACAAGTGTTTTTATATATAAGCTATATAAAAACTCTTTCAAGATTAGGATTTGAGATTTGTGACTTGGAGATACATAGAAGGACTTTATAGGCTTTTTCCTAAAGCAGATTTGTACCACATCTGACTAGATACAAAGCACTGAGTAAAGAGGTGCACACACACACACACACAAACACACCACGTGCGTGCACGCTTTCTTTTAAAAGTGGGTTTTAGTACTATGGGTTAACTAAGATTTGATTTTTTTAATTAATTTTCCACGTTTTGAAGAATATGTTTATTCTGTAAAGTGAGACTTGGTTGTACAAAAACCACTACAGTTAATTTCATTCTCTGTTTTTCTTACTACAACTCATGTCTTTGTGCCACAAATCAAAAATGTTATCTATACATTTAAAAAAATATATATATATATAGTGCTTTTTTCATAGCTATTTCTAGGCTGCAGTCATCCATCTTTGAAAATATCTAATGTATTTTAAGTTAATTCCATCTTTCCTTTTGAGCAATGTGTTCGAATTCTGTTTACAGCATAGGTCATGGACTAAGGAAGGACTACGTGCAATTATACCCAGTAAAGATACTGCACAAAGTATAGGGTTCTTAAAAGCAGACACAGATTCTATTTTAGGGTGGTAGAATTAATTACATGTGACTCATGCATTTCAAAAGGGGGTTTTGAATCCAATAAAATTAATATGAATGTAAGAAACAGCAAAGCCTATAAAGTAACTTGCAGTTCAAAACACCATAAAAATACATTGGTTGAATTTTAATTCCAATTGTTTTAATATTTTTATAAAATAACATATACAATTAATGTTTAGATTTTTAAAAGTTGATGACAATATATACTTTTTTTTTTTAAAGATTTTATTTATTTATCTGAGACAGAGAGAATGAGAGAGACAGAGAGCACATGAGAGGGGGGAGGGTCAGAGGGAGAAGCAGGCTCCCTGCTGAGCAGGGAGCCCGATGCGGGACTTGATCCAGGAACTCCAGGATCATGACCTGAGCTGAAGGCAGTCGCTTAACCAACTGAGCCACCCAGGCGCCCGACAATATATACTTTTATTTGCTTTGCTAGACCTAAATTTCTATGAACTATAGCATAAAAAAGCATAACCATTAACACTGTAATTTCAGGACTATGTAAGTATATTAAAATAATTATTGTCTTACTAAATATTTTAAGATGAGAGATTAGTCCATTATAAAAGGCAATATGAATTTCATCTGGTTTAGTAGACAGACTTGAGTTACAAGTAAGAAATCTAATCATTATATGTCTTTGTTTACATTTTAATCTACTTTTCCCTTACTGTAACAACAGAAATGAGGTTCTTCCCCAGCATTCATCCCTTTTCTTCCCATGAGTCCACTAAATTTCCCCTCAGAATTAAATATTTATATCTAAATTAAAACTTCACTATGATAAAAATAGCAATCTTTTTACTAAAACTCGAAGCATATAGCTATCAGGAGTAATGAACAATTCTGTATGCTGTATTCACGTAAACATTACTATATTATTATGTTATACTGACTTGTTAAAATATAATTAGGTGAGCTGAATGAAAACAAGTAACTATTGGGGTGCCTGACTGGTTCAATCGGAAGAGCATGCAACTCTTGCTCTCGGGGTCATGAGTTTGAGCCCCACCTTGGGTGCAGAGATTAAATAAACAAACTTAAAGAAAACAAGTAACTATTTTTGTTAAACAGAAGGTAATGCATGTAAGTTAATCATCTTCACTGAAAAATCACACTATGGTTTCTGCATTATATATCAGGACAGTGACATCTCTGGGGCTTAGAACCATGGCTCATGCATGACCTATTATATAACACCCACTCAGTACTAATTCAAATATACATATGTGATAAAAACCTACATGATAAAAATGATAGCAACATCCAAAGAAGATAGAATCCGCAGCAATCTATAAATCTAATACTAAACACATTTTTTTAGGTAAAAATTGGTACCAAGAAACTACCTCTTTCCAAAAAAAAGATTGACATTTAAGAATGCTTTATCTCTCCTTTCTTGTGTTCATCTCTCCAAAGGTCTATGTGTAAGAAAATAATTTCCACTAAGAAATCATTGCTTTCCACTCTCTGCTCTACATTCCTTCCTTACAGTCCTTTGTCTTATATTCCTGTATTCCAAGACTTTGAAGGCTAGTGTCTAATTTCAGATATTAAAAGAAGCATAGCAGTACTCTCTTATAGCTTATTCTTGCTGAAAATATCAAGGGGAGAAACTTACTTGGTAGTATTATCTCATGGAGGAGGAATAAGACATATAAATTCTGTGTGAGGGTAAGTAAGTAGGTGGCATATTATTCTGCACAATATAGTAATATAGATATCTTTTCTTTTTGGAGAAAAAAGTCTTCATCTTTTGTTTCAAATATCTGTCCTCCCACACCAGGAAATCTCCTGGCAGGTATATCCCAGTGTTCTGGAGTTGCCCTGTATCTCGACTGTAACTCTAGGAAACCTATCTGCCTTCTTAGCTACTCTTGAGACAAAGCAGGTGGGAGACTCAGGGAGAAAAGCAATGGTACCATTAAGTGGGCCTGAAAACCCCTGCTTAAGATTCTTTCATGCACACATTTTTTACGCCGAGGGCCTGACTGGAACCTTGCTAATGGTTTTAGAAAAATAATGCAATATGTCCTTCTTATTTCAATGTTTTTGTCAGAGGCAGTGCAAATGAATAAGGTAAAACAAAAACAAAAACAAAAACATCCTTTCTTCTCATTTTTATTGTGTCCACCTTTGTTTATCTTACGTATTTACTGATTACCTATAATGTGTCTAGCTCTTTGCTAGTTACTGGGTAAAAAACAGAAACAAGGGGACAAACTTTCTTTTCTTATGGAGTTCATAACCTACCACATAAAGCTAGACAATTAACCACAAAGATTAAAAAAAAAAAAACGATGTTACTTGTAGTAAGCTGCTGTAATAGAGACTTTTCTCACAAAGTGTAAGTTATACTGATGAGAAGAGACTGTTTCTGTATACACATAAGTTATACTGATTGTATACTGTTGTATGTACATGAGGCACTTCATTCTTTCTTTCACACCTATTAAGTTGTAGAAATAGTAGTCAGAGCAGCTAGCGCCTACTGACACTTAACTCATGCCAGACTCTGTTCTGAACACTTTACATGTATGAGCTCATCTACTCAGTAGCTTAAAATAAAACCACCCATGACAGTATCAAGAAATAAACTGGTTGCAAGACAGACAGTGCACCCCCTGTTTGAGTTCAAGTAGTGCGTCTGCCAAATACTTTCTGCTTCACTTGGCGAGTCACTCTACATCTCTGAACCATGATTGCTTTATCTGCAAATAGGGTAATAATACATAATTTGTGGGCTTTTTGTAAGGAATTAATGAGATGATATATACAAAATGCTTAGATTAGCAGCCAGCCTTTGCTGAAGGTCCTATTAGTGTTTTGCTTTTATTATTTATTCCTCACTGTAATTATAGTATTCTAATAACAGTACTAGCTACTATCATTTCTATTTTACAAATGAATAAACTCCAGCAAAGAAAGTATAAGTCACTTGCTCTAAACCAACATGGGTAATAAATGACAGAGCAAATATTTGAACCCAGCAATTTGGATCTAGAATCTCCCTTGTCAACCACTATGAGATACCGCCTCTCCGGTGGTGATTCAGTTCTAGGCTTTCTACAATGTCAGATCAAAATGTGAAAATAAATTTAAAAGTAAGTGAAGAAAGTATAATTTAAAATTA